ATCAGCATTTTGATGACATGTTATTAAAAGCAATGTTTTTTGGGGGAGCACTTTATTCTAGTATGGAGACCTTTCTTTAGTTTTTCCTTAGGTTGCCAGATTGGCGTACTTTCCTTCACAAATTTAGGGAATTGAAAGGACAAAGGGCTATTTAAGAAAAATCACTTGAAGCTACAATTTACTCCATAATTCCTATGACAGATTAAATTGAAATTGCTCAAGGTTAGCCTGCAGTTCTTACTACGCAGAAATGCAGTGGCATATGCATCTTTGTGACTGTTCAGAGAAAGGAGGTGGGGCATTGGATTGTGTCTGTGTTTCACAGAGAAGAGTTGTCAATAAAAGCCCAATCTTCACTTTATTCATTTGTCTCTGGTTCAATTTTAAATTGAATATATCCTGTTACTCCTCCTATAGCAATCTAAATTTTCAGAATTTTAATAATGTCAGTTATTATATCTAGAAACTTGTCATCATACTTTCATATTCAGAAACCAAGTGGAGACATGGTATGCAATCATAATCCCTGCAAACAGAGACTCTTGAACACTAATGTAGAGATAAACAAGATTGTTTTCCATAATCAGATGTCTGAGAAAGTTCCAGAAGTTAAGCAGAGGATATCACTGACAGTTCATAGAAGATACATCAGCAGTTACCTAAATGTGTGATCAGAATGTTTTACTGCACATCAATGATATGTCGGCCACTTTACATAATTGATCTAATCATTATAATAATTTGATGAGAGAGGGCATTATTATGATCTACCAAATAAGAATAGTGCTACTTAAGAAATTTATAACTTGCCTAGATTCACATGCTAGGGAAGGAATTTGAGTTAAAGAGGATACAATTTAAAAACTTTAATTTGATAAATTTAATCACTCACCTATACATTATGATATACCATGGCCATATTGAGAATTATGTATTTCTAGAGGAGAGTAACTTCAGAGAAAATGGATAGAGCAGACTCTTTATCCAGGAGGGGAATTTAATGTAGGCCCTGGGAAAGGAATAATAAATATTCACAATTAATCTTTGGCTATGGGGAAGTCAGTGACTTTAGATAGCACTCTTCAGCTGCAGAGAAGCCTAGAAATGTAGAATTATATGGATGACTGATAACCCTTTGCTAAAGCTTCATGTCAAATTTTCGTGCTGTCAGTGGGAATCTCAGGGGCTCTTATTCAGAGTTTGTTAGGAAAGTCACGTGTCCTTCCTGTTTAGGATTAGCTGAGGGGACAACACAGAACACCCGCCAATAGAACAATTGCATGCAAATTTCTATCTTCCTCATCTGGGATGGAAGTAGAACTGGTGATAAATAATATGCTCTGCAATTTTTTGGAGGTTTTTGCTTTTCAGAATAAGCCTTTAGGAGACTGAGTGAAGTTGCCACGTAAACAGCTTGTGAGTCAAGCTTTCCCGCCTCTGCGAGCTTCCATTTTGGATTTTGAGCAATCAAAGTCTCTATCATCTGTGCAGAGGGAAGAATTTAAACACAACACTGGAGCGATTTTTTAAATTGCTTAGCAATTTTTAATGCTCAAGTCTTGGAGGCCTCCTGTTACTAACAAATGCATGTGCTATTCTTTAACAGCACAGTACATACGCAGAGGCATAACACAGTACAGGTTTTCTAAAGTTCATGTCTTCTTAGACTTGTTTTCTCACCAAATTTGTCATTTTTTTTTTGTCATCAGCACTTTTATTCAGTTGAATAAATGTTAGTATATAAATACATAACAATAGGCCCTATCTTATCACAGGTTAGTGTTTTCAGAACTAAAACTTGTGGCCAATATTTTATATAACAAGAGGAAAATACATAAAAAATGTAGATTATCAGAAAAGGAGCAAGTAAATAAGAAAACAATGCATTTTATATGAACTTATATAAATTATATTAGACAGTTAAAATGAAAAAAAACATTGCTTTCTCTTCTAACTCAATTTTACAAAACAAAGCCTACATGCATTACTATGAGCTAAGACTGCATATATGCTATGGCCCTTTACAAGACTGGTCAAAGACAAAATGTCATCATGTTTTCAGTTCTTAACTGGAGTTGAGCTTCCTTTTGTAGTCTTCTTTAAATGGTGGTAATTTGGCAAGATTTTCATCAGGAAATCCAGCTGTAGTGTCTGGGGCTGTGGTCGCTCAGTCTGCACCCGGCGGAGGCAGTCGGCACCGTCGATCACTGTGTTCTCAGGGATGACTTCAAAGGTGTTCAGACTGCAACAGGCACCAATGATGCAGCCACTTGTCAATATTACATTTGTGCCTACATACGCTTTTGATTCAATGACATTATTAACTCCCATTTTCATGGCATGAAAATAACAGCCAACTTCAAACACATTGTTGGTTCCAATGATCATAGGTTTGGGTTCAACATCTCCAGCATCAGGGGTGATGTTATCAGGGTGAGCATTTATGATGAGAGCCCGTTCTTCAATTAGGTTCCCCTCACCAATCACTATGGGCCCGGCTTCTGCAATAATTCGTGCTTTCGGGTGGATCACTGTCCTGGGTCCTATGGTTACATCTCCTTGGATTTCACTTTCTACACACACTACTGCTCCAGGAGCAAGCTTCACACTTTTTGGAGTCTTCTCCACCATCGTATGGCCCCGGTCCTCAGTTGGAGCTGATCCCTACACCACTACCAAATTTGTCATTTTTTACACTAACATGATACTATATCATTTGCTTTATCAAAATAAGGTTCTAATAAAAATAGCAACTCAGCAAATTTACTTTATTAAATAAATTGTTCTAAAAATGTATGCCAAGACAGATATTTCTTTTGAAAAATGTATTGCACAGAAATTAGTATTAAATTACAGAATCTATAAATCATAGACTTAGATCAGCTAAATCATCTAAGGTTCTTGGAAGCACATTGGCATGTGTTCAACTTTAGTATGTTTTGAATATTTATTACTTTGTACAAGCTTATATACATGTAGCAAGGTTATTAGTTACTCGTAAGTCAGCTCTAACTCATAGGGACCTTACATCACACAAATATTGTAACTACAAATTAATTAGCACTCGGTGAGTGTCTGGTGATGATCTATCTCAGAGCTTCAAATGCATTATCTCATCTTACCTTTGTACAACTTCACTGACTTGCGGTAATGCTAATTTATAGTATAAATGAGGGAAATAAGGGTTGACAATTTGCAAGGAACTGTCATAAAGTCATAAAGTTAATATACTGCAGAATTGGTAAGTAAAAGCTGGTGTGTCCTCAACGCTATAACTTGCTGCGCACCATTGCAGTGCTGTGAATTAGTGTGGCCCTTCTTTGTCACCCCTGCAAAATGGCTAGGTAGCCTAGGCAAATGTGAGGAGCTTATGGTCCACCAAGGGGAGTGGACAGCTTGCTAATGATGTACAACAAAGTGCATGGCATCCTTGAGGAGGATGGGACTGGGTAATTAAGCTGTCTGGAACTCTAGGGTGGGTATTGATAAGTTTTGTCATTCTGCAAGGTTTAAAATGAACCATCTCAGAGGTGAGAAGGGGTCTCATTAGCATTAAGAAAGAGCGAGGATTGGATTACATTCTTTTAACTTGAGATTCTAAAACTCTAATTCATATGAGAGAATGCTGTGACACCAGAGATTGCAAAACACAGTAAGAAGCGGGCAACGAATGTGAAGAACTAGCAGACCAGCAGGAGAGAGGGTGGTCTGGGGACAGCGAAAACTGTGAGTGTCATCAGACAGAAGGCTTGCTGGTGAGAGGGGCACCTTTAGGCACTTATTTTCTGAGTGAAAAGAGGTTTTTAATGGTTCCTGTCAGAGCAGGGGCCATGCTATGAAGCCACGAAGAATATAAAGTCTCTCAGCCCTGATGAGTAGAGGCTGTCTTGTATTCTGAGTCAGTTTTGATGCTGAAACCGGTTACTTCTATAATCAAGCCAAAATCTCTGAATAAATTCTGTGTGCCCACTGCAATGATGTATCAAAACCAGCATAGAAGGAAAAGATGCTATAGAAGGGATATTCATTTTAAAAGTGTTTTTAGAAATTGGAATGGGTAGACATGTCTGATTAAGTGGGTGAAGGGAGATGCCAGACAGTGTAAGATATGACAAAATAACAATAATTTATAAATTATCAAGGGCTCATGAAGGAGGGGAGAGCAGGGAGGGAGTGGAAAATGAGGAGCTGATACCAAGGGCTCAGGTAGAAAGCAAATGTTTTGAGAATGATGATGGCAACAAATTTACAAATGTGCTTGACACAATGGATGTATGTACGGATTGTGATAAGAGTTGTATGAGCCCCCAATTAAAAAAAAAAGAATTCTATGATTCCATTTAAAACAAAAACAAAAGAAAAAGTAAAATAATTATAATAAACTTCATTAGAATGTTTATTATTTCAGAGATACTGTAAACAAAATTAAATAAGGCACAAACTAAGAGAAAATATGCAAAAGATAATGTACCCGTTAAAGGAATTGTAAATGGGATGTATAAAGAACACTCCCAGCCCATAATATGACCAACAGACTCAAGCAAATATTCTGCATATAAGAGTTATGTGGTAGCTTAACTTTCATCTATGTACAGTAAAAATTGGCACTTGGAAAATTAAATTTGATATATAATTTAAGAATACAAAAATCCATAAAATTATCTCAGTATACAGATATAAGTATATCCAAAGATATGCATGATCATTATGGGAAAAATAGATATCATTGAATAAGACCTAAATAGATAGCGATACATAACAAATTTATGAATGGGAAGAGTTTAGTTCTTTAAAATTACTGATTATTTCCATTTCATTGTTATTTAATAGCATTGTGTGTGTAATTTATAACCTTGTTTTGGGTTTTGTATAAATGAGAAAATATGACAATACATTCTGAAAGAGTAGTAGTTGAGAGGTACTCTTACAAAACAGAATCTTTATAAAGGTACAGGAGTTAAGAGTATAGACAAATCCATAAGAATGAAGCAGAGCCCATACCTATGAGAAACTTGACTGTGGAAGTAATATTACTGAGAGAATACCACTGTAAAACATGCTGGGATAGTTGACTATCCATTTGGAAAGATTCGTTTTCTCCCTTTCTCGTAGTCCATAAACAGATATCAAGTTTAGGTGAGTGAAAGACAAGATAACCACGTGTTTCACTTTGCTCTGGTCAATCCTAGTTTATGCAAGGTTAGTTAGCAGTATTGTCTTCAGCCTCTCTACTGAAGGGGCGAGGTGGGCAAACCCCACCTTACCCAACTGTGTGGTAAAAAGCAGCAGGTCTCTCTGACCCAGATTTCACTTTCCTACCTTTTCATTCCTTGTCATCATCCACTTCTCTGGTGACCTTCACTGCCAGAGTGACATGAACACATCCGATGCTGGACGGAACCCTCTTCACACTCACATAGCTACAGGATTCAGGAAGAACCCAAGCCCGGGGGTGCAGAGTAATGTGTAACCAAAGTAAGTAGAAACGTCGCAGGGCACAGGCAGTTCCCAGGCTTAGCAAGCGACCCACTTCGGGCAGCCCCTCAAGGAGACAGAGAGGCTCAGGAAGGAGGAAGGAGAACAGGACAAAAAGAGAGTGGGAACTTCCCATGACTCCCTTATTAAAAAGCCACGCCTCCCAGGAAACGTCATCAGTCTGTGACCTGATGGACTTAATTGACAGGTTGGACTCTCCCCCTACACAAGAGCAATTCGACATGGAATCTGCCACCGTGGGCTAGGATAGAAGCAGCGATGGAAACAGAAACACAGGGAGGAATTGAATAAGCGATGGTCTATTGAGGGGATTTCAGTGGATGTGTTGAAACAATGTGTCTGAATCATTGCATGTAAAACACTGTTTGTTCTGAAAACCTTCACCTAATTCACAATAAAAATTTTTGTTTTTTGTTTTCTAAGTAGAACAGAAAGTTTTGGAGAAAGATAAATCTTTTAAAAAATGTTTTGGTTGTAATGTGAGAATTTTAGATGAAGGTTTCCAAGATTATCTGGTTAGTCAGATGTGGAGTTAAACATAGTGGGTAAAATTGATGTGCTCACTTTGGTAGCCTTCAGCATAGAAATGATAGTTGGAATTGTGACAACATCTGGTAGACTCAGAGCATAAAAAGAGGCAGTGTTAGTCCAGGTAAAACAAATCCATAGACACTCGTGTATAAAAAAGAGCTTAATATACAAGAACAATTGAATATTGAGAAAACATCCCAGTCAAGTCCAGATCAAGTCTATAAGTCCGATATTGGCCCATATGTCCAATACCAATCTATAAAGTCCTCTTCTGACTCACAAAACACATGCTATGCGCCGAATGCAGGAAGATCACAGGCCAGTCTGTGGGAAGTCTTGTGGATCCAATGGTATTGTAGACGAGGGTCTTATTGTTAGCATCCCAATGATTACATGTTTAGTCCTGAGCTGTGCTTTCTAAGTGGTGCAAATATGTCACTGCTATTTAAATCAATTTTATAACAATCCTTTACCAATAGACTTCCCAGATCAGCGGCGGTTATGGTATCCATTGCTATTATGAAAAAAGAAACATTGACAGTGGCTAACATCAAGTTTATTGGGAGAAGGGCATTTTTATTTCCTTCTATTACACCTATAATTTGTCATCCCAGAATGACGTCCACGATTTAATTTTTTAATAAGTTGGCTGAAGGTAGCATTGGCCTTCCTTGTATGTAAAATTCAGATCTCTTCTCAAAATAAATGCTTCTTTAAAAATAAATCACAAAACCGAGTTAAGAGTGGTACAGTGCATAGAAGTAGCAATTAATGTTTAAAACATAAAAAAGCTAAAATACTACCTTTCCAAAGCTTTCACTATAAAGGAGCGTGTAATAGCCAGGGCGTTCTCAAAGGAAACTCCAGTCACTCACTGTTCTTATTGTTGAGTCCCTTTCGTTGTAAAAATAAAAATTAATACAAAATAGATGCCAGCCAGAATTTAAAATTTGTCTGAATGGATGTATTTGTGAGTTCTTAGAAATGATATGGACTCTAAAGTATTAGATTGAGTTTTAATGTTTCCTTGAAAATTATCTTAATTACAGTAACACTAGCAGTAAAACTCTCTATTACCTCATGCTTAGTAATACATAAATGAACGTTTTAAAATAAATATTGCAAATTTCCAGGCTTAGAATTAATTTCTTGATATACCTGCATCTTCTTATAAGTTTAAAGCACTGATCTATATTTTGAATTTCTATCATAATGTCTTTTAAATCTGACAGTGTAACAGTTAAAAGTGTAAAATGATATGATAAATATTTCATATTTCACATGAAATATTTCTAAATGTATATATACAATGTACTTAAATTTTTGATACTTTTATATGTTCTTTTTATACTGTATAGTGTTTGGAATATAGATAGCATATCATTTTCAGTTGCGTATGATAAATGAAGGACATGGAAATATTACTATCACATCCCATGTCTCTGTCTTACCTCTGTGTGTAAGTGACTTTTATGTTTGGATGGGGTTCTCATTCCATACATTTGGAGTATGACTGTTTCTACTCTTCCCTCCCTGAGTGGCTATTATTTTTCTACTGAAGAGCCAGTCATCTCTAGTACACTGTGACCTTATTCTCTGCCGAA